ATTCAGGTACTCTTGGTAAAATTGAATGTAGTGTTGGAATTATTGGTAGAAACGTGGCATTCAAATCTGCAGAAATTATGAAATGAAACTGCCATTCCAAAAAAAGATAATTATATTTTAATGTTGCATGTGAAAACATATACATAAAATTTATGTAAAATTCTAAGTTAAATTTATAAATTTACTCTAAATTCTTAATTAAACTTTTAGATTTTTATTGAGGCAAATAAGTTTATGAACTTGTTGATATGGGAAATTTAATCATCTTTCTTATGACAAACTTAACATTGATTTGTGTTTTATTTGCACAGATAATGTCAATACTTGCCATGTAAGGAATGATTTATTAATATCTTATCTATGCAAACGATGTAAAAACAGATTGTCGTAGAGAATATGGGTTAAATTGCCTAAATCATCAAATTTAAAAGTTTATTTACTTTGATAAAAGCGTTGAGACTTAATAAAAAATCTAAGATAAGTTTAAGGATTTAATATAGGGTTTTGTACCAATATTAGTTGTCTGCAACTCTTTCGCCACCAATAATTTTGAACAATTTCATTCTTGCTTGCCAGCTAAGCCACTAAGTTTCTGACACAGTAGGCCCAAACTAATTTTATTCATTTGTTATAAACTGGGGAAATATACCAGACGTGTATAATGGATTAATACTCAGAATTTATGCTTTCCTTGTGCGTGGAGGGATGCTCTGCTCATTCCTGAAGAAATTCTCTGGATCAACTGCAGTCTTCACATCCACTAATCTCTCAAAGTTCTGATTAAAATACTTCAGCCCGTAAACTTTACCTTCTTCGTAGGTGCCTGTTTTACTGATGCCGTTGTCGATGTCACGATAGGGAAAAAAGGCTCTCCTGGGATTTTTGGACACAAAGGGAGTCATGTAACCATGAAGTGTGTTCACCAGAGTTGTGTAGTTCCTTTCTGCCTCAGTTCCAGCCGCATTCCAAGTCACAGTGTATTGAATCTTAAACAAATTCCCTGCTCGGTGAGGCATTGGAATATCTGTTGCTTTGATTTCATTCATTCTGCCTCCATATGGATTCAGAACCAGTTCTGGTTCTCCCAATTCAATCATCCTTTTCCATAGCCATTCCAATCCATCTTTAGAAATGGGAGTCTGTACATAATCTGACTTCCTCTTGAAGAAATGAACAATGTAATTTCTACTAAGCAGTGCATCAGGTGATGCTGCGTGATCGAAATTAGCCCACCAAACAACGGATTCAATCCAACTCATTTCCATACAGTCTTCTTTCTTCAAACCCAATTCAGGGAAATCCTTTCCCAACAGCTTCACAAGACTATCTGCATCCCCTAAATACAATGACGAGATCGATGCTCTAACTGTTTTCTGCTTGTTTCTCCTTAATGGCTGCAAAACCATCCTCATAAATAGATTATTGTTTATTGTTGGAGCAACAGATTGCCACCGGAAAACAATATCAGTTGCATTCTGATCCAAAGTTCTTTCGGATGTGAAAATGGTAACAGTCTCTGGGACTAAAACAAGTTTTATCTTGTATGCAAGGACCACACCAAAACTTGCTCCTCCACCACCTCTAATTGCCCAGAAAAGTTCTTCTCCCATGCCCTTTCTGTCAAGAATCTTGCCATTAACATCAACTATCTTTGCATCCAACACATTGTCTGTTGATAGACCATACTTCCGCAGCATAGTGCCATAACCACCACCACTTATGTGGCCGCCGATCCCAACCGTTGGGCAGACCCCTCCAGGGAATCCATGGACTTTGCTCTTTTGCCAAATATTGTAATAAAGTTCACCAAGAGTAGCGCCAGCCCCAACCCAAGCAGACTCCTCTTCCAAATTGATAGATATGGAGCGTAGATTGAACATGTCAAGAATGATGAAGGGCTTGTCGGAAATGTAAGATAACCCTTCAAAATCATGGCCACCGCTTCGGATTTTGAGTTGGAAGCCAACATTTCTGGAACATATTACGGCTGCTGAGACATGGGATTCAATCAATGGGGTGACAATAATTACTGGTTTTGGTGTGGAAGAAGAATTGAAACGAGCATTTCGAATGTAAGCTTGCAAAACAGATGAGTAGGAAGAATTGGAGAGGGAGAAGATAATGTTGGAGACTTGACCCAATGGCTTGGATTGGTTTCTGAAGCATTGTAGAAATGATTTGTAGACTGAATCCGAATCTGCCCATGAGGACGAAAAATTCAAAACAAGGAGAAAAAGAAGAAGCAACATTGGGTGATTTAAAAGTGGGTTGGTTGTCTTAGGACTTGAAGCTTGTTCGAAGATGTACTAAAGAAACCTAGGCCCATAACTTGAAGCTCAATCCAAGATCGAACAAAGCAAGAACTTCAGGAGGACCAGGCGTAACTAAAGTTCACTCGGTGACCAAGTAGCCAAGCAATGAACAATGGTAAACGCAGGAGAAAATATTCAGGTACTCTTGGTAAAATTGAATGTAGTGTTGGAATTATTGGTAGAAACGTGGCATTCAAATCTGCAGAAATTATGAAATGAAACTGCCATGAAATGGAAGCAATAAGGCTGAAAATTAACGGCAAATGAAGCTGTAATTTGACAGCAATTTAGCTGCAAATATGATGGAAATGGAGCTGTAAAATGACAGCAAAAATGTGCAGCAAGCTAAGCTGCAAATGTTGATGAAATGATGTTGCAATGAACAGAAAATGCAAATGCAAACTTAAATGCAAATGCAAATGCAAACTCAAATCCAAATGCAAATGTAAATGAAATGAAGTGACCAAGCATACTGCAGAGCTGCCAAAGGACGCAAGCATGCAGCAAAAGTGGCTGATATTTTCAAATTGAAAGTGTACTTTTATTATTTTTTAATGTAAAATAGTTGCTTAGATTTAAATTTTGAATTGAGTTTGTATTCTCCTATTAACAGGAGAGATTGTAATGAGGAAATTTGAGTTGGAGTGACATACTCCTCTTCATTTTATGTGTTTTGCCCTTCATTTTCTTCTCCCGAAATTCTCTCCATTTTTCTTTGATAAAAAATATGAACATGTACAATATATGGTTATCCTTTAATTGTTTTCGTTTCTACTGTAAAAGAAAACAAGCAAGTTTTTTTTTATTGTTTTTTTAATTTTTATGTAAAGGTAAACAAGCAAGTTGTAATATAGATATAATGGGATTGAGATTTTGAAATAGTATATTATACCCAATTCTATGTCTGGACTCTAAAAAATAGTGACAGCATAAATTATATATGTAAATTCAAGATCATTTTCTGCATACTAACAACTAGAATTTAAAATTTTCAAGAGCAATGTAGATTTTAAATCCCTAGCCAAACATAAACTAAATCTCTACTCCAATAATTAAACAAGTTCCTCGTTTATCAAACAAAAAAATAAACAATAAAAAGCATGTTAGTTCCTCTATCAGGCAAGATCCTCCAAGTAAAGCACACATTTTCCACAAAATGAAAGATAAATTAAGAAGTCATCTTCTAAATATCAGAAAAAGAAAAATCTATATCCCCAAAAGAAAGAAAGAAAGAAAGAGGTACCCAAGGGCTGCTAGTAGCATGTTGATATTTCGTCCGGACAGAAACAGTCTACTCACACGACCCACGTCTGAGGTGGACTCTGCAACAACCAACCCATGTGAGCACTCAGTAAAGAAAGCGTCAGTTTGCATATCAATTATCCATCATAAATAAAATCAAAATCAAAATCAAAATCAAAATATCTGCATATCAATCAATGTTTGCATTTTACTCCTATAATAATCAGGTCAAAATTTCGTTGAAGTGGGTGTTGGAATTCAAAATTTTGTTGTTTTTGTTCCTTAATAATGTTCTTTACAGTAGGTTTGATTTTTTCTTGGTATTTTACTGTGCGGTCAGAACTCGTGGTTGAATTTTAATGGAAAAACCTTTTTTCTCGTATCCGGAAAATCTGCAGGAGACAACGAGAGAAGACTGATTTTTCTTGTCAGCCTCTAATTATGCATGGAGAATAAAAGAGGTCTCGGAAACACTGTCTATTTCTATGGTCTTTCCTTTGTTCCTGGAAGAGGTGGAATGCTCTGTTCGTTTCTGAAGAAAATTTCTCGACCAATCAACCTCTTCATCCGTGCCAATCTTCTAAAATTACCTTTGAAGTACTTCATGCCCCATGCGCTTGCCTCCGGGTAGTTTGTGCTGCCCAATTTGTAGGTCCTCAAATCGAGATCCCTGTAGTTAAGGTAAGTAGCCCTTGGAGATCTTGAAACATAAGGCCTTATGTATTTGTATGCCATCCTGATCCAGTGCACACGTCTGTTAGTATCCTTTACCCCATCCGCTTCCCATTTCACTAAGTATTGTATATTGATATAGAATTTTCCCACTCAACAGATTTTAGACTCTTGGAAAGGTGTGATAATCATAAGCGGTTTCAGTGTTGACAAGTTTAAAAATTCGGATTTTGCTGGCTAGAATTCAGGACAGATGAATATAATAAGGAATCTGGAGTGAAAATGATTTGGACGCTTTTGGTGAAGGCTCTAGACTGTGTTAACAAGCATTGCATGAACTCTTCATGGATTGATTCGAAATTAGTCCATGAGACTAAAATCAAAAGCAGAGGAACTTGAATGATGTACTTCATTCCTCATGTCTATGCTGAAACGTAGGGCAACTTGAGTTGTTCTCTGTTTTGATCGAGTGGATTATATTGAGCAAGTGCCAAACTGAAGCGTCAGTGGTAGGCTTACGATTATTCCAAAGAGAAGATGAAGTCGACATCATGACCTATAATTAATTGCCCTTTTTCTGGTATCTTAGGCAATATTGTTGTCAGCCCTCGGGTAGGTAAATTAAAACTAATCCAATCTTCATAACATATATGAGGGAGAGACATTTTTTGGAGTCCAGAGTTTGTAGTGCACTGCACTAGCTGACAAAGAGGGACCATTTAATTGGGAAAGCCTCACATGGCCACATTTAAGGGGTTTTTCCCAGTTTAATATTTTGCTTTGAACAGTCTGATACAATTTACATGCACAAAATATTTCTATTTTATTAAGAAATAAGATGTAGGATTTGTTTGATATAATAGTTAAAATTTTGTAAATAGTGGATAACAGTTAATAAATAATGAGTGGTAAATAGTAAATGATACATAACAGATTTCAATTGATATAATTATTTAGTTATATAATAATTAATAGTTGTTATTTAATATTAAATTATTAATAAAAAATATTTAAAAGTAATTAAGTATATATTTTTATAATTTTTATTATTAAAATTATTATTTTTATAAAAATAATAAAAATAAATAAATGAATAAAATGAATTATAATAATGTAATCTCACATTCATTTTCATTTTTAACAAAAAATGTTATTTTTAAATAAAAATAATATTTTAATCATTTTATCTAATTATCAATTTTTTATTAAACTAATATAATTTTTTATGATAAATTAATATAAAAAATAAAAATATAATAATTATTTAATATTATTAAAACTAATTAGTTAAATACTAATTAAAAATTATAAAAAAATTAAAATAAATAAATTTATCATTAAGATTAAAAACTTTCTGTAACTAAAGGTGAGGTGTGAAGGATGTCTCTGCAGCAAACCTTTTAAGCATCATTTTCACATTGGTTGAGAAACTTGACGTGGACTTTAGATCCTAGAGAATGCTTGTAGTATAGAAGAAAATATCTCACCATCAATTACGGACATAAATTGAGTACGTTGTTGCATGGGTCATGAGTGCGATGTCTTTTTTTTGTTTTTGGTAGGGGACAATGTGTTAGTTGGCATGAGCCATTTGGCAATTACCGTGGATGTGTAATGGATAAATTATAGAATTCATTAAACTTCTTTGGTTATTCTTACCTAGTGTCGGTCTACCCCATTCCAACCTTGTTTTAATTCGTGTCCTTTTTAGTGAAATTATAGCATAAGATTATACTCACGAGTGGATGAATGAGTTGTTAAGAAACTTTTTCAACTTAATTAAAAGTTTTGATTTTAAATTTTGAGAATACAGTTCCATTAAAATTTGTGAGAGAGAATTTTAACGTTAGTTGAATTTTACCTGACTTGAATCTGAATTAATCAATGATCCAGTAAACTTTCAGATACCAGATAACCAAAAATAAAAAAGCATAAGATTCTTGTTCGGTTGTTCCTTGGGAAAGAGAACAAATAAATTTCCCGAACCAAAGCTTGGAAAATTTTACAGAAAGACAATAACTGCCAAATGATAAAATTTCAAAATGTGCAACTAAAGAATCCAACATTCAAATTCTTAAATTCATTTAAGTCCTGACTTTTTAGATCACTGTTAATTTAAGGCAAATGAAGATCAATTGATAATCATTAGATTCGAGACTAGAAAGCTGGTAGCAACCTTCAAGCTTAGAAAGCCGCCTTGTACATTGGTTATAATTTTTTGTAATGAAATTTATATTTTACCAAAATAAAAAAACCATTAAATTTAAGCTTTTTTATTATTTTTTTGCCCTAATTTTTTTAAAAAAACTTCTCCGTTGTAGAGAAGCTTTAAATTGGGACAAATACTAAACGTTTCTGATTTTTGAGTTTTTGTAATTTATATTTTTAGTATACAAATTAAAAGTATTTTTCATCATAAATTTTTATAAAAAAAATATAAAATTTGATATTAATTCCCATACCATAATCATATAAATAAATTTAATTAGATAATTAATAAATTAAATATTAAATTTTATTTTTTTAAAAC